GTAAGCAGCTCAGACAGACACCCTCCCTAATTCACTGAAGTATACGAAGGGGGAGGAGATACAGTACAATCAGATTTGCAAGATTCTGTTATTACAGCCAATCTCAATTAAAGCAGTTTTAGCCTTCCTGTGGAGGTGATTTCTTGGTCTTGTCTACGTATTGGAGCTGACAGTATAAGAGTGCAGTTCTCTCTTATGCCCACCAGAGTTTAAATTGGGCCTTTCTTTTTTCCACTTTTCCTGTGGTTTAATGGATACCTGCTTTATACTTCTCAGGCTTGATGCTAGGTGGCAGTTGGTGCTGACATAATCATATTACTACTCCGGGAAATTCTAGTTCCAAAACATAATGCCTATAGTCCAGACAAAAGACTTTCCTGACGCAGAGAGAATAAGTTGAGTTAATTTGGAAGATGGAAATACTTTTGATGAATGAGATGGAGCAATAGGGTGAAATGTGGTTACCACAGCTGTCAAAGTGGGACAAAAATGCAATTGGTCAAATCCCTATTGATCTTCACCAGGATTGTGGGCAGCAGAGGAATGGGTAGAAATGTGTAAAATAGGAATCCATTCCAAGAAAAATGGAGGTCTTCACCAAAAGACTATTCTACCACTGCTGCTAATTATTAGGAATTGGTTGTTGTCCCATAATGCAAACAAACTGACCTTGGGGTTGCCTCTATACGATTTATTGCCATCATCAACAGATGCAGTTTCTATTCATGGTGGCTCTTCTGCTATGGCTGAGCTGACTGGCAAGAATGTTATCACTTCCAGGCATGTGGATTGCCAGGATAAAGATGGAGTGATGGAAGCATCTCTGCTAAATCTGTAATGTACAGGGCAAAAGAGGGTTCAATTTATATCCCCTTCTTTAGTTATATACCAGACCACCAAGGATTTCTCCAATTCAAACTGAGTATGATGGTCACAGAGACAGCCTTTGGAAGGCCCAGAGTTCCTTCTAAATTGTGAAGAGCTTAAGTTTACTGATGCATCATAATTTTTTTTAGAAAAAAAATATTAAAGATTACAGAAAATGATGCAACGAAATTACCAGTAAAATGCCAGTAAAAATAAATTCTGCTTTATCATTTTGTAGATACAGTGGTACCTTGGGTCACGAACGCTTCCGTTCATGACCAATTCGGGTCACAAACAGCACCGTTCGCAAAATTTTGCTTCCGTTCGCGAACGCCGGATCGGGTGATGAACAGGATCCGCGGCCATTTCCCCTGCCGTGACACGTGGTCGTGGCTTCCTGTAGGGAGGAGGACTCTCCC